ATAACTATTGCACTGTGTTGTACAGCTGAAACTAATTCTAAAAAATGTGTATTTCATAATAAAAAATAATTTAATAAAAAAATAAAAAAGAAAGAAAAGTAAGTGATTCTAAAGTAAGAGGGCCAGAGGAAGATGGCTACTATGAAAACTGGATGTAAAGAATAGATTATTTGGTCTGAGCAACAGCGGTTCCATGCCAGGCCCGAGCTGAGCTGCCGCTGAGCTTCCAACAGGCGGCAGGATAATGCAGCTAAAAAAACCCAAAAACATTATTTGGGGGATAATGAAAATGTTTTGGAGCTAGGAAGAGGTGGTGGTTGTATAACACTGTGCCAGAGAATTGTTCCTGGAAGAAGCATCTACAAGAAAGAAAAGGGGAACTGCAAGAAATGTTCATATCTTTGTTTTCTTTTTGGAAATCTAGTGCGGCAAAACCTTGGGTGAAGAGATTCTGAAAAATGAGATAAACAGTCAGTCACCTGTAGCAAAGGAGCAACTAAGTTCCAACTACCCTTTCCTCCTTTTTTTTCAGTAGAAACTTGAACAACTGAAGGAAGGTGTGTCATATAAAAAAGGATGCTGATATGGTGAATAATTCCAAAGGGTAGAAGTTACAAAACGTAGAGCCTGATTGAGTATAAGGAAAAACTCTCTAATAGTTAGGGTTGCCCAATACAGCAGTGACCCCCTCATCAGTGGAAGTGTTCAGGCAGAGGCTGGAACAGTACTTGTGGCTTTGGTATAGAAGACAAGTGTGTAGGTAGACATTAGAGGACCACCAAGGTCTCTTGTGTCTTTGTGGTGCTGTGTTTCCAAGGGATTCCACTTTTAAGGAAAGCAATAAAGATTAAAAAAAAATGAATATCCTGATTCTAAGGAACAATTACGTTCACAGTTATACATGTTTGCTTTGGATTAATGAAAACAAAACCCTCAAGTGTAAAGCTATGTTTACATAACAACCATATAGGTTAGTGAGTTTGGTGGAAAAAACCCAGTCAAACTAGTTGTTCGGTGTCATTGAAGCAATCACTTGGTTGTCTGACAGAATCTTTTTTTTTTTTTAAGACTTTTATTGGGGAGTTGGGGGAGGGGGAACAGACAAGTTGCTGTCCTTTTGTTCTTCAGTCTAGTTGTGGAGGATGTCGCTTCACTGGCCCATGTTGGTATTGTGATCATTGCACTCTTTCCGGGTGAGGCAGATCAGTTGCCGGCCTCTGGAGGGCCGCTCACAGCAGCTCTTGGCAGCTCACACCGGCTGCTGGCCACTCATGCTGGCTAGGCCACACACGGTAGCTTATGGCAGCCCACTGCAGCAGGAGCTGCAGCTATGCTGTCGCTGGCTTCTCTCAGCAGCCCAGCTCCAGGACGAGCTGTTGTTTACCATCTTAGCTGTAGAGGGCGCAGTGTCACTGGCCCTCAAGTGGGATCCGTACCAGGGCCCTGCTGCTCAGAGCCAGTGCTCCCAAGCCAGTTCTTAACCAACACGACACTCGGCCGGCCCCTGACAGAATCTTTTTATTTCAATTGTATGCTATTGGATTGGAACTGCTTATGAAATCTTACTATAGAAAAAACAGCATTGAGTTATGTTTAGTTGGGAAAAACCACAATTTTATTCTAATTAAAGCTAGTTGCTTCTAGAAAAGAAGGAACAAACTGGATTAATTTTAGAAGTAGCCAAAAGGAAAAAGTTCAGCTCTATTTGGGAGGCACTCCAAAGGGTTAGCACTGAGTTCTAGAGGATAATTTAATTATGCACAGAAGTATCCTTTGGGAAAGGGATTTAAGGGAGTGGTTAGTAACTTTACTTTGAAATAACCCTATGTCATGGCCTTTAGGATACAAGTCCAATAAAATCTCTTGGTGTCACACAACTTAATTCTAATAAACTTTTATTATCAGTGGTTGAGTCTACCAAATCTTTGTTATTTCTGTATCACATTTGACTATGTTTAAACCATAGAAGGCTTAAAATTAGTCAACTCTTATGCCTAGAATCTGATTATGTAAATATTTAAGGTCAAACAAGGACAACTTAGAGAAAATTTATATGAGATTGCTAGTCAGTCTTAACACATTCCATTTGTATACACACACTTACACACACACAAACTCGTATTTAGGTAAACTGGGAGAAGCTGGAGAGTCTCATGATGGTAATTTCTACAAGCGTCTCATCTGCCTTTCTTCAAGAAAGTCCTTGTTTACAAAGAATGACTTCTTAATTTCATATCAGTGTTCTAGTTTTCTTTCCTAAGTTTCTTTCAAAAGCACCACCAAGTTAAGGCTAAGTGGTTCTTAAGGAACAAGGCTTTAGTTGATGTGTTCAAAACATTTGATTTAGCTATTTCTAATCTCTCTCTGGAATCCTAGATTATCTGTTTTAAAACACTATATTTTCTTGATTCCATCTAAGAGAGCAATTTCATCTTTGTTTATAAATCAATAGCTTTTAAGACATGAATCACAGTTGGTGTGTGTGTGTGTGTGTGTGTGTGTGTGTGTGTGTGATAATGGATTCTGGTTAAAAAAATGGTAAAAGACACTGAAGACACTGATTTAAAGACATATATTTTCATGTGAATAGAAAATATGGCACAATAGCTAAACACTGTGCATGCCACCTCCCATTACCACATTAAAATTACAGTTAAATTATAGAACAATCAACCTCAAGAACCATCTGAACATTATCTGAACAGAATCCCTGTAACTACAGATATAAAGAAGAGGCCACATTGAGACTGGTGGAAGGGGCAGAGATGCTAAACAGGCTGACCCAACACCCACAAGTAATGGTTGAGCATCAGGACGGACACCTTGGCAGTGGAGGTCCCTCCTAAAGAGTGAGGGGTCCTGGCCCCACACCAGATTTCCCAGCCCAGGGGTCCTGTGCTGGGAAGAGGCATTCCCACAACATCTAACAGTGAAAATTAGCAAGGATTCCATCCATCCTGGTCAGTTGGAAACACAGACGTCTTCTTAAAGGGCCCGTGCACAGACTCACTCGCAGGCACTCATCCTGGGCTCCGGCAGAGGTGTGGCAAGAGATATACAGGAAAAGATTGAGCTGTGTGGCTTAAGAGGGAGGGCTAGAGGGACGGCTGCCATTCTCCCTGTGTGGAGCCTGCCTCACGTGTAACCTATATGTGGGCACCATCTTTCCTGTGTAGAGCCCTACCCCACACAGCCAAATCTGAGACTGCATTGGCCTAGTGAGCTCTGAGCACCCCACTCTGGTGACTCCCTGGGACCCTACCCTGTGCAGCACTGCCAGAGGCACTCTCAGTGTCTGGGTAGCCAGCCCCACCCCACCCACTGTGGGAAACTTTTCCAGCAACAGATGGCCCACAGCAGCTTGTGTGGCCACCTGGGGCATTTTCAATGGCGGGCAGTAAGCCCCAGCTCATGCTGCAGCCGTTCTTGGACAGCTCTTGTGTTAATCTGCAGGTTAAGGCAAGCAGGGACTGGCCTCAGTCTTCTGTGGGCATTTTGTGGAGTGGCCACAGGCTCAGCACTGGTGCGAGAACTAAATATACATTAACCTTGTGAACACTATCGACAATACCTGCCCCACCCTAGTGACTCCTGGGACTC